TTTAAATAATTTCATAAATTACAAATCGTATCTTTACCTTGACATGGAGATTTCAACTTCATAACTATCATTATATAATGCAGCGGTTCACAAACTTTAGTAACCCGAAGACCCCTTTTAATTTCTTTTGTTTTTTCGCCCCCCCCCCCGAACCAATCGATGTTTTTTGTTTTGAAACAAAGAAAAATGAAAAAATATTCCATGTACGTGAAAAATTGTATTCCGAAATTAAATGTTTTAATTCATATAAATATATTTTTACGAAAGAAAAAAAAATTATTCTGTAAATCATAATTTTTTAAATATATTTACGAAATTTCGAACATGACTCGCAGACCGCAGTTTGAGAAACGCCGACATAATGATTTCGTACTTAGGCTTAACTTCTTTCATTAGCGTGGTAGATACAACACGTTAATGTTTTGCCTCACTATCCTCTGCGTTTTCACTCTTTGGCCTAAAGTCTTCCTTTGAGTGATAGTATACACGGTCCTCGGCAATAAAAACAACTTTCATTTCTTTAAAATGGCGGTTCCCATAGCAACACTTCTGTTGGTCACACGTGAACAAAAATTGGATAGCCTTGGTCGATACATAAAATAAATAAAAACTTACGTTGCGACTGGGTTTTATTGGCCGTAGGAAACCATCTCGGCCCACGAATATCGATCTGCTTTTCTACCCTTGGGGATATGACTGACTTTGAAAGTCTAGACTAGAGGATCCACCCGGAAGTATAACCACTTTGTTTATAACGATTCTTCTTGTAGACAGGATCTGTTTATATTAATATATAGACATATTATTTTGAATTTAATACTCGTCTGATTGACATCAGATGTACTTGATTTTTTAGTGCCGCACTTGTGTAATATACTCATTATTTTCTTTATTTGTTCATGTTGATTAATAAAAGTTTTATGAGTTATTTTATTTTTTTATTTATTGTTCTAATTTTATTTCTCCCGTTTATGTAAGAATTGTCCCCGCCCTATAGACTTGAAAATTCTGGTAATGAAACGTTGGAGTATTTCATTTCTTTGAACCCTGAGTTTAATATTTTTTATTTTCTCTACAGAGCATCACTTATATTAAAAAATTCAATATTTTTTGTTTATGCTGTATATACATATATATGGTACTGTCCTTGAAATCAAATTACCTATAATCCGCTGAACAACAACGTTCACCAACAGAGTGCGCTTTAAAAGTTTTAATTATACACCGATTTAACTAACTTATCAAGAAGGTATATATTATTATGTAGATATAGCTACAATACGGAATTCTAGGAAAGCCAGCTAATTAACGATTGCATTTAGTTAGCATGTAATCGTGGCACAACTAAGATAAAACATCGTAATAAGTATGTGCGTGCGAACTAATTTTATTCGTAATGTTTCTAAGTCAGGATTTTTAGCTATTAAATAGTGCATGAAGCACGTAATCAATATAAATCAGTTTAATGTGATTGTGTTGTTGTGTTAATTACTAGAAAGTTGAAGTTTTCGTTTTGTATTTAAGAAAGAGTCACTGGACGTTATCGGTACACCACAGGTTGTTTGTAGTTAAACACAAAGCTACACAAATGGCTATCTGTGCTTTGCCCACCACTGGTATCGAAACCCGATTTCTAGCGTTGTAAGTCCGCGGACATACTGCTGTGCCACTGGGTGGCTACACCACAGGAGAGGGCGATATTGCTCAATTAAGATTCATATAATGTTCGTCTTCTTTCTTATTTTTTACCAGTTACCTAAGCCTTAAAGCCGTAAATATTTTTATCGTAATTATATTTCTCAAAACTATCCGTGTATAAAAGCAAAAATAACATTAGGAATTATAATATTAATCAAAAATCAATTGTAATATACTAGATTCTAATGGGGCAGTGGTTCTCAAATTTGAACTTCTGCGGACCACCTACCGGTCCTACCCCACCTGTTCTGTTCTCTTGTATGGACTCGGCTGTAACATTGCGCTTTTATGACTTGCATTTTGGACCACTCCACCACCCACCAGACGCTAACTTCTCTTTGAGAACCACTGTAATAGGGCTAGCGAATATAAGTATATTTTTTATGTGTATTGTTCGTGCTGACGCACTATGTAGCTACATGGCCTTTGGATAAGTAAATTATGTCTAGACAACTTTCTGTGTTTTTTCGCTTCATTGAGAGCTTTATGCGTTAATAATATATCACAGTTCATCTTTTTTATATCTTATTTCTCGCTACACTGCTTTTTATGCCAATAACTTTTTTTTTTTTCGAATTTCAACCGACATATTTCTTTAGTGGAGATGCATATGTATAAATAACAGCAAACCTAATTTTCATAAACAAACGTTATAAAAAAAATCATGATCTTTGTTGGAATCCCATCGAGCTAGAAAAAAAATAAGTTATTTCTTTGTTTAAGAACCTACACGTGAGATTAAGATTAATACACAGGGGGGTCAAGTACACTTGCCAAAACCACTGTCAAATATCTTAAGTATTGAAATAAGTAGAAAACAACAGGGAATCCTCAGTAGCCGCGACATTTGAAATTCTTTTAGGCAGAATTATAGTAAGTTAATCTATGAGACATTTTTTCCCTTTTTATTAGTTATATTTTAATGCACCGCAATACCATGCGTGGAGGGCGCGCGTATACCCGATTCGATTTTATTACTCATCTGTACTCTACCAGCCTACCCTCAAATTGAAATTCTTTTAGGCAGGATTAGAGTAAATCAATATATAAGACCTTGGGCGTGGTCAAATACATACATCAATCGAAGGGGTTTGACATTCTGAGTCCATAACTCTAATTAGATCTCAAATCGGTTAAGAGATAACGGAGCTATGAACTAAAAGTTTGTACTTGAAAAAATTCAAAGCCATTATTTTAACTAAATAAGAATATGCTTTAATTTGCTTAGCACGTGTGTTTGATAAAAACTTTATTGGTGGTTAAATGTATAAATACACTCAGACCATCACTTTATCGATACAGTCAATCGGATAATATGTTTTAATAATCAATTTAAGATGTCAAATAAAAGTAAAAAATAACGACCTGTTGGAATTTTTCTTGTAATCTTGAAATATTATAGTTATATATTACTGCGTCTTTATTTATGCTTAAGAAATATATGGAATGTCCTGTTTGCATGCGCCCCCCAGTTAAAATTGTATGTTTTACAGAAAAGAACTTGTGTTACGATTACTGTAACGTAAACGTGGTTTCCAAACTCTTGATGCCCGAGCATGGCCCAGTGGTTAGTGTACTGGACTAAAGATCTGATGTTAAAATACCACAATTCGACCAAACAGAATAGCGTAAGAGTTGGTGGTGAGTGCTCTTGACAAGCTACCTTCCTTCTGGTCTATCATTTCAAAGTTATGGACGGCTATTGCGTGTAACCCTTAAGTAGTTTTGCCTGAATGTTCGGAAAAAACAAATTCAAACTCATAGAAAAGTAAAGGTAATCCTTATGGGAGAGAAGTGGCTTTTAGTTTGGGTGAGTGAAACCCACGCTTATACAAAAACGCATCATATGAAAAATTCAATATTAATTTTGTAGGGCCGGGTGTGGCTTAATGGTAAATGTTCACGAACTGTTTATCAGAGAGTTCTCGATTCGCGTCCCGTTACCACGAATAGAATTGGGCTCCACTCTTTGAGGCAGTGGATGCGCTAGAAGAATGAGACAAGAGTAGCTAGATCTCCCTGAAAACCAGAAGTAAACACAACAGTTAAAAAACATCACTATAATAGTTGAATATATATAATAAAAAAATCATATGAAAAGTTAGTACATTTACATGATAATTTATAACACTTACATTCATTATTTTAAGATAATACACTTAAATTCATTATTATATACGCCCCCCCCCCCCAGTGGCACAGTGGTAGGTCTGCGGACTTATATCGCTAAAAACTGGGTTTCAATACTCATGGTGGGCAGAGCACAGATAGCCCTTTGTATAGCTTTGTGCTTAATAACAAACAACGATATTATAAGATAATACACAAATAAATCAATTGAAATGAGAAGATGGCGAATTATTTATTTATAGTTTATTGTGAACATTAAGAAAAATACATAAAAATAAAAACTATGATTGTGATCTTGGTCAGAATTCGTAGAACAGATCTAAAACGTTCCCAGAGGCGTTGGAACCGGGGGTGCTATAGCACCCCATATTTATATGTTTGACTTATATAGCAACTGTAAATTATATTACCATTAATTTTCTGGGAGGCATGCACTAGATTGAGCTACCTTTTATCAGCTCCTTATACTTTCAATGTCTCATTGTAAAATCTGCATGTCTAGCCAAGTACCCCACTTTACAACTCCTTCCTACACCACTGATTCCCTTCATAAACTGTTAGCCTTATGTTAGCCTGTTGTCCTCTATTGAACAGTTAACAAAGCAAGGTTCGATTAAATTACTTGATATTTGTAAATCACCATATTTTTCAAACATATTGGGAGATGTGAGAAAAATTGACATGATTGCTCTGAAGTATTTTTAAAGATGTTCATATGAAATTCAACATTACGCTTTCAGGCAGGACAAAGAAATATTTTAGAATATGAATTAATTATGTGCACTCGACCAAGCGAGAGATTTTTAAAGTCGTGTAACATTTTTGAAACCACCTGTATATATTTGAGTAATAAATATCACTATTAATTAATTTGCAAAGAAATTATGCAAAATGTCACTTGCCAACTAGACAAATTAATTGTACAATACAATTTTAATGATTTGATGTTTTAGCTAAAAACAATAGTTAGAAAACAAGACATTCAGTATCACGCAACGTGTTAAAAAAATACCACCTGATTAGCACAGTTTGCACATTTTTATCCTTTTTTGGTTTGATATTGAAAAAAAAAAACGTCGGGTAAAATACCCACATACAGTGAGGCCAATCATTCACTTGTCAAAATCTTACATGCTTAATTTATTAGTTTAAATTTTATTTCTCCAAACCAGGTATTCATTTAGTGGAAGAGGCTGCGAACGTCTTTCAAACTGGTCAGAATCTGAAAAAGTTGACACAGATGACACAGGTAAGAGATGGTTGCCTAGCTATATATTTATATATTAAGTGATTAAATGTGGATTTTGTGTTTGTGTGTGTGTATTAACTGTATTACTAATTTGTTCCTGCAACTGTTTCTGTACCTTCGCTGCTATACAAGTAATCTTCCTCCTTCGAAACGAAACAAAATAGGTGATTGTTTGTTTCTTTGCCCCAGGTGTTTGTTATTTAGGTTTTTCATGTTTGGTTTCTGTACTTTAGAAACTATATCTCTCTCTCTCTTTGGCGAAATCGCTCACAGGTAACCTCTTGTGATTTGTTTTTAATTTTCATCCAATTATGTTAATATTTGGATGACGAGTAAAATATATGTTTATTTGAAATATTTATACACAATACATAAATATTTTATTTTAAGCTCTTCTCTCAGAATATTTAGAGCACTTAAATTTGATGATACGTATAACCGTGTTAGCTATTCCTTCCTGAATATGCCCAGTTTACAGAATTATTTTACCTTTAAGAAAATAGTTGTTAAGTGATTGTATAAGAATCAAAACACGGACGTTATAAGTTTGTTAAAAATCACTGTTCACTTATTTAAAATTATTTTGCAATGTATACTTTTAACACGTCTCCCACTAGTGGGGTGTTTTTGCGTGTGTTCGTTTTTCCTGATAATTTGCAGCAAGTAATCTGTTAGAAAACAGAAAGCATTACAGTTAGGACTAAACTCTATTGAAGTAATTCATTCCATTGGTAATATTAAAGTTATACATTTTTCCCTGCCATTTTAGTTTCTTGACAATATGAAAGTTATTTATTTTTCCATATGTTATTTTAATTTCAATATATGGTATGGTACCACCATAGTATAATCCACATAGATTTCATCATGCCACATTTTTATTAATAATTAGTTTTTTATTTACGTTCATCGAGATCTATCGAAATAACCCTAAATCACCGGTTTCCGGAATGACCCTCCTGTTGACCATCCTAGACTCAGCATGAAAAGATGCTGGGCTGACTCGTGTGGTATCAATCACTAAAGAATTTATATCACTTTTAATGTGACAAAATTGACCAGAATAATGTTTATAAACCATAATATATTTTCAAGAGAAGTATCAATGATTCTTAAAAGCCTTTTCAAATACTTAAGCATAAAAAGTTGGACATGATATCGACTTGGTAAACATTGTTGTTTTCTTTGCGCAAAGCTACACAATGGGCTCTGCATTCTGTCCTTCACGGTGAATCGAACCTCCTGATTTTTGCTTAAACTTACCGCTGACCCACCAGTGCTGGGCATTATACCACCCTGTTTATGTTTGCTCTTCGTTGCAGAAATGGCATTTTTAATCTGAAAACTGCTAGGGAAACCATCTTGTAATGCATCTTTGGACTCTACTGTTCATTTAGTTTCACAAAATATTGAAACTAGTGATTTATTTTATATGATTCCAATCCCCTGTTTTGAAGATAACGGGACTATTGTGCCTATTTTTTATTTTTTATTTATGTTTCGCTGTCAGTGCAATAACTAATTGAGGAATCTCAGATTCAGCTGGTGTGTCAAATCGATTGAGATATCTTCGAATAAATTCTTCTCTCAACCGATCTGGACCCACGGTTTAGCTTATTCGCTACAATTCAACTACCACATACACAAACACATCTAGAATATTTCAAGCATGGTCACGTGTCTGG